CTCTGACGGCTGAAGGCAGGTTTCTGGGGATTGTTTAACTTATATAATTGCAACATAGTTGCTTAGACTGCAGCTTAGAGCCCAGCAGTGGCAGGCGGGGAACCTTGGCTTCTCCATCACTGGAGCAAGCCTCCTGTTCACTTCAGCTGCCTGGCTGCCGGCCGCCATCTTGGTTGGCAATTAATTTGCATATGGCCCTGATTAGCCAATGGGAAGCGTGTTGGAGGTATGGTTAATTACCATGTTTGTCTATTATTAGATAGGATAGCTCAGGTATGGAAACAACCTAGATGTCCATCAATAGATGAATGGATAATGGAGTTTGGGAATATGCGTTTAAGGGACGAGAAATGTTTTTGCTGTGAAGACCAGCATTTATGCCTGGATCATTTCAACAAAATGACAATTGAACCCTAATTATTAGCCAAGTATTTCTCTAGACAAATTGTCTGCTCTCATCAACTTTATATTCCAGTGGTAGGATGCAGAGCATAAACAATTAAATGAGTAAATATATACTATATGAAGTGGTGAAAATCTATATAAAGAAAAAAGCATGGTCAGGAGATTTTGTGGTTGTTATTTTATAATCTTCGTTAGGGAAGTCACTGAGCAAAGATCCAAAAAAAAAATGATGTAGTGGGCATAAGTATATCTGGGGAAAGAAAATTTCAGGTTGTAACCGGTTTGGCTCAGTGGATAGAGCATAATGTTTAGTTATGTACTTGATTACAGTGTAAATTCTTGAAAGACCTTGTTATTAACAGTTTAAAAAATCCAGAGTTGGTTTCAGACCATCATATCAATCCCGTATTGTTGCCTTTGGCTCCCAAGAGATCTTTATTTGCTTGATATGCTCTCTCTTTTGTGTCCATAAGATACTCTTCTGTTTTTCCAACAAGTTTTCATTTGGGAGCCATTTTCTCCAAGAAGCCAAGGTAGTCAATATGTTTTCTTTTATACCCCAAATATCTCTCCAGCATAATGCTATGGAGGTTAGAGTCTACAAAATCCTAGAAGAGGACGTCTGGTTTGCTTCTAGCAGAGTGACTTACTGTCCATACGCCTGTGTTGAATTGAAGTAGAAATGAAGTAATCTAGGTTGACTGAAACATAGGATGTATGTAGGTGAGAAAATGACAATAAATATGAGCAAGTGTTGACATAAAATATAAAGGTGCCAAAATAACTAAGGAAAAAACTGGTGAAACAGCTGATTCAGTAACTAAATTGACTTGAAAAGGAATAAATCAAATATAAGGAGAAGGCTGCTGCTTCAGTTATAGTGTCCTCTATTTTCCCTTTTCCTTCTGACTATCTCTAATTAAGTAAAGCTATATAAATATAGCATGTGGTGGTATCTGACAGATCCTCAGAGCTCAAAAATTATCTAAATTTAGAGTCAGTTTTTGGAAAAGAACCTTTAATAGATATTTACATCATTTTCACTAAAGAAGTCAATGACTCCATTAAACACACACACACACACACACACACGTGTATTATTTGATCAAAATCTTATTTCTATATTCAGTTTGAATGGAAGACGTATTTTCTCAGGTCAGAAACAATATTTCCCCCTCTTTAATTTAGGAACAAATGACTTTTTAGTTCGGGGACTATGTGACTCTGGATGAAGACAAGGATGCCACAAACGAGATTCCTACTGTAATTCATGGATTTGGGTCTCTGTTGTATTGATCATATTCTAAAGTGTCCTTGATGTCTCAGAACAATTGGTAGAACATATGGCAATTCCTCAAAATACTAAAAATTAATATTTTTTAAATTTAACTCCATGAATTCTAGAATACACATCACATTTTCAGAAATTATATATTATAGTAAAAACTTACAAAAACTGAATAATTTTCATGTAGAGATGTTGAGTACTATAGTCAACTGTAAAAGAGCTATTCTATTAAGTCTTTAAATAGTTATACCTTGGTCTATTTAATTTTGTTTTAAATAGCATAGTTCAGTAGCACATTTTCTTTATTGAAATATAAAGTTAGACTCATCTTTATTTGATATATAAAACTTATTCTATAGATATTTGAAATTATATAAATTGTATTTTTAGATTTTAAAATTGTAATACTTTAATTAAATATTGTCATATTATTATATCATAATTTAGTAACTAAATATATTCTTCCACTGCTTAGCTACTGTTCACTTTATTGGAAAGGGAGTGTTTCCAGGATTGGCAGCCTGTAGGAATTCCTCCAAATAAATGTTCTTGGTTATCCAAAAAGAAAATGGCATTAATGATTCCATTTAATATGTTCCAAACTATGTGATGATATATGAAGAATTCTCATATCTAGTTGGAAAGATTTTTTATCAGAAATAGTTGCGTTAATATCTTTAAATATTTTATCAGGCCTTTCTTCTTCTTGTACGGAAGATTCATAAGTCAGTGTCCTGTCCTTTATCAGAGGATAAATTATTTTCTATTATTCGTTATACTTTCCACAAATTTCCCAATATTTATCATAAATTTGTGAAAATAGTGATAGCCAACTATCCCTATTAACTCTCAGTTTTTTCCTTCTTTGTGTCTCCCTGGGTCTTCCTTAAGAATCATAACTGTATTAAAGATATAAAAAAGACTACTAGTATAATTTAATCTCACAAAAATAACCTTCCAGCTACTATAAATTTAACTTGGTGAATATAGAAGAAAATAGTAGATGAAATCTTTAGGAAAGATGTTAAATAGCACAGTCTACTTCCATCAAATTATGTTTCTAGTTTTGTGTTTGTTTACTGCATATTAGTAGTTTCATGCTCAAGGCAAACTATGGAAACACTGCATTTTTGTTTCTAATAGATAGGCTTTCAAGTATATTAGCATATTAGTTGTTTGGGAGAGACTTTCAGTGTTTTCCACATATGTATTCTTGGGCCATTAGGGGTACACCACTGTAGCTTATAAATAGACCAACCTGAGGTAAGCAGTAAATATACATCCATCCATACAAACACACTTGTGCATTTTCTGAATCATTCTAGTAGGTAAGTTCCAAGAGAGAGAGGATTTTGCAGCACAGGGGAAAAGTAGGTTTACAGTTGTGAGTATATGAAAAGCAGAATTTGTTACTATATTATTATTTTTCCATTATTGTATCATTTTCCATATAAACAACTATAAACCTACTTTTTCCACATCCTATATACAATCAAAAACTCATTTGAATGCCTAAATCTTTGTTAAATTGTTAAGGAGTAGGGTAGGTTAAGGAAGATATACTGTAAACTGACCATGAGATTAGAAATCAGATAGTTAAGATCTGGTCTTTGATATTGTTGTCTCATTGCATTCTTTTTGTTTGTTTACCCTCAGAAATCTCTTAACAGTGTATGCATCTACTAAAAAAAATTATCATGAACTGCCTTGGACATTTTTGTATCCCTATCTAGAATTCAAATTTGAAGCCTTATTTTTAACAGTATAGGAAATCTTGTCTCTTACATAGAACGCTGTACTCACTGGATGAGTTTCTTTTTAAAGAAATATTTTAAGAGAATGATGACAAATTAGATAATCAATTTGTTTTGGTTCAGTTAAGTAGAATCCAACTACTTATAGCTGATTTTTTAAGGCATATATTTATTAAACAAATCTCAGATTTAGTAATTCATAAAGGAATAATAGTTTGGTAATGTTTTTTATTTTAAGCAGTTTTTCCTGAATTCATTCAAAGAACATTTTAGAGCGCCTACTATACCAGGTATGTCAGTCGTTTTGCATAAGGCCATTTGGTGATGAGGGAGAGGGAACTCCATAATCCTATCATTTCCTGGCAATTGATTATTTTAGCAATATTTTACATAAAAGGTTTAAATCAATACAGAAGTTAGAAAGGCTAGTATAATAAATTCCAATGTTTCACCTACCTTCAACAGTTATTCATTCATCAAGTAATATTTCTTCTAAACTCCCATCTATCTATTCTATCCCCTAAGCCTTTTGAAACAAATCCTGACATTATATCATGTACCTATAAATATTTTAGAATATGTCTCTAAAAGAGTAAGATTCTTTTAAAACTCACAATACTATCATCATAAAGAATATTTAGCCATAATTTTTATTATTACCAAATATTCTATCAAGATCCACATTTCTCAAAAAGTCTTATTCTTTTAAGAGTGTGTTGAACTAGTATCCAAATAGGTCCTATTTAAGTTGGTTGATATGTATATTAAATCTCTTTTAATAGATTTTTGATATCTCCTAATTTTTGACCTTTTGAATGAATAGAGCTAGCAGATATATATTTGTGGTTAAATATGCATATGTACTGAACCATAAATTCATACTAATTCATTCAATTCAAATTTGAATTACAGGGGCTTTATATAATCTTATTGAAGTACCTTGTATCTCCTTTCTCTCATTCTTAGTATCCTGGTTCTTAATGACACATTTGCTTTATCCCATCCTGATATATAAAAACCCAGGGTCTGTAATGTCCAAATTGACCGGATGCTCGCCCAAACGCCAGGCTGTGCACGCAGCAGGCTCTGGTGGGCAGGGACTGGCAAGCGGGCTGAACTGCTGACCTCTCAGGGAGAGAGAGAGGTGAGGCTGATCAGGGGCTATCGCAGCTGCTGGCGAGGCCTGGAGAGAGAGAGAAGCAGGCTCTGATCCACAGCCTCTCTCTCTCCGGGCCTTGCCAGCAGCTGTGACTCTCTCTCTCTGAGAGATCAGCAGTTCAACAAGTTCACCAGCAGCCTGGGTGGCTGTTGATAAGTCCTGCCTCTCTGATCAGGCCTGGAGATAGTCCCAGAGATGCTGACTGGCATAGAAACTGACCAATCAGAACCAAATCTGGGTGAACTGCAAGAAGACAATGGCTGTCTAGGAGGCGGAGCTTCTGACACTGACTGGCATAGAAACCAACCAATCAGAACCTAGTCTGAGTGAACTGCTAAGGCAGAACCTAAGGTGGGGCCTGAGGAGGGGTTTTAAGGGCAACAGCTGTTTGGTGAAAGGTGTAAGAAAGCAGTTTAATTTTTTAATGACTAGTTTGGCAGTATAGTGCATATGGATAGCTATCTGTCCAGATATAGGAATTCTGTATTTTTGTCTGCCAAGAGCATCTCCTCCTGATGAAAAAAGGCCCCCCCCACCATTTAAGCAATCCTATCCTATATAATCTATCTATACAACTAAAAAAGTAATATGCTAACAGGGGAGGGCAGTTAGGGGCGAACAGACAGGCAGGCAGGTGAGCGGTTAGGAGCCAATGGTCCCAGATTGCGAGAGGGATGTCCGACTGCCAGCTGTCGGACATCCCCGAAGGGGTCCCCAATTGGAGAGAGTGTAGGCTGGGCTGAGGGAACCCCCCACCCCTGTGCATGAATTTCATGCACCAGGTCACTAGTACTATATAAAATATTATTTCAGTACTCATGATCAATACCAAAATAAATGATTGTATTTGGTTTGCTTTTGTATCCTATATAATAAAAGTGTAGTATGCAAATTGTCCCCTTGACCAGGAGTTCTACCAGGGGGTGGCGCCAGCTGGGGGAAGGAAGGGAGTACCCGGCCAGCAGCCCGCAGCTACCAGGGACACTACCAGTGCACAAATTTTGTGCACTGGGACTAGTTTATTTTATAATTGAAGATCATGCTTTACTTTAACAGGTTAATTTTGAGTAATCATAATTTAGAAAAAATATAAGTCACGCTCATTAGAGACTTTAGATTAAAAGGATGAGACTTATTAAAATTTCCTGGTAAAGGGTGATTTTTTTTTTCCTTCTGTAAGATACAGAGGAAATAGAACTGGAACCTAAGCAATACTTGGGATTTTACATTCATTCTCCAGTCCTTTTCCTAGAATCTCTGCTACTCTTTTCATGTTTGTTCTTTTCTGTCTTTACCAGTAGGCTTTTCTACCTATTTATAGTTTCTGTTCCCTTATAATTTTGTCTTATACGTAGAACAACATGGTCACTCTCACATGCTATTATGTCACAGTTTTCATCTTCACCTTCCACTATTGATGGGTTTTCTCTCTCAAAATTTCTGTCATCATTTTTTGGTTGTTATATTTCCTCATGTGTAGCATCTCTTTAGTTTATTATGTCCATCATCAAGCTCATCAATTATCCTGTGGGACATTACCTGTAACTGGTCCTTAAGTAGCATTTATTATGAATATTTTGTTAAGATCTCTGTGTATGGCAGACATTCTAAAGTCTTGTTCTAGCAAGTCTAGCATGATTTCAGCAAATGTTTTGAATAGCAAATGTGCCTTGCTTTTTTAGGCGGCTTAGGTGGCTTTTATTCTTAGCCTCTGTTATAAATTATATGCAACAAATGCAATATGTGCAATTTTCTCATGTGGATATTTGATAAAAATGATAATACTTTTTGTATGGGTGGGTGAAATTTAAGGAAATAATTTCTTAGCTTGCATGAAATAATATTGTTTCCTTGTTGCCATGCCTTTCGATCTTCTCCCTAGGATGTCAGGTGATATAACTAGAACTCTTATGACAAGCATGTGGTCTGATTCATAACTTACATGGAGATTTTTTTTCTTGTTCAGCAGCAGCTAATATTAAACTCAATGTTCTCAAATATTTACTTAGAGTAATGTGCTCCATTTGGTCTGAGCTGTGATTTTTGGCTCCTACTTAATAATAGTTCTATGCCCTTTAGCAAATATAACAGCAGGAAAACCATAGTGTTCAAAACAACGGACTTGTTAAATGTGTAATGTATTTTTTTTCTTTCCTGTTTTGCCTTTACCAGTTTACTGTGGCTTCTAGAATCCTTGGCAGATTCACACATTTCTCTACTGCTTAAAAGCATGTATTTTAGTTGTTTCTCTTTTTAAATACATAAGATATATAT